GAAGAAGAGAGAAAGGAAGTAAGACAAAAAAAGAACAATTTCCACTCTAAAGGAGCTTACTGTCTGACCCTATCTCCACTACAGCTAATTTTTCTTTATAATTTCCTTTATTACCTTCTCAGCTCATCATGCAGGGATGGTCTTGGCAGTTACTGTGACTTAGTTTGTCTTGAGTATTTCTCATATTTTCTCCTCTTCCTTTCTTTCATAAACCCACTAGTGTTCTTTGGAGATTAGTCTCTAATGTCTCAGAAACAGGTATGATAAGGTGTCACTAGCCTGCTGTTACACCTGCACCATGGGACAAACATTGGAACTTCAGGCATTGTGGCTAGGTCATCTCCTAGATCAGTGATATTCAAAGTGAGGACCAAGGCTCCCTAGGGGGTTGCTATGACTCCCTAGGGGGTTGCTGTGACCTGATCTCAAAGAGTATATGATTAGGGAGCAGAGGAGAATAATAGTTACAATTTACATAATGCTTTAAGTTTTGCAAAGTGCTTTACAAATATTATCTCACTTGATCCTCCCAAGAACCCGAGAGATAGGTACTGTTAGTATTCCCATTTTATGAATGGGGAAACTGAAGCAGACAAGTTAAGTGACTAGCCCAGGGTAGCACATCTAGGAAGGGTCTGAAGTGGGATTTGAACCCAGGTCTTCCTGACTCCAGGTTCATGACTTTATCTGGAGCTTGTTTCCAATACAACCACATCTACCTTTCTCTACCCCCCACATTCTCCTACTTTATTCCCCTCCCTCTCCTGTGTAGGCTACTGTATTATCTCCTTCAGAATTAGACTTTGGCCCCTCAGGATAGTTACAACCTAGATGCTACCTGGTCACCTATAGCACAAGGTGCCACTGGGAAAATTTCATGCCCTTCTACCTCCTAGTATGCTAACTCTCAACTACCCAGATCACCTCCTGGCTGCAACAGATGCCCCTTGAAGGGTAGGCCCTTTAAGCCAGAACAGCGACGGTTGGTCTTTCCTCTAGGTTAAAACTAAGCTAACTCCAGGGAGAAGGCCAAAGATCCTTTTCATTCTGGGTGGGTCAGAGTGAATGAGATGGAAAGATTCCTAAACTCATTCCAATTTCAAACTTCCCCATTACTAGAGAGGGTACTATCAGCCTTCTAGTCACCTAGATTTGCAAGCTTAGTCAGTGTTTGAATCTTCACTTACCATCACCTCACATAAAGCTAATAAGCCAAGTCAAGTATTGCCCACTATCTGCTAAATGAAGAAGAAAAAAGTTCCTGACCTCAAGGAGTTCGTGTAAATTTTGCTGCTTCTACCTCTACATTGCTTATGTCTGTCCCTTTTTCTCTGCTCACAATGCTACCACTCTAATCCAGGCCCTCATCACCTTTTGCCTTGACTATTGTAATAGCATCTTAATTTATTTAGAAAGTACCTTTTTTTGTGAGGCAGTTGGGATTAAGTGACTTGCCCACAGTCACACAGCTAGGAAATATTATGTGTCTGAGGCTGGATTTGAACTCAGGTCCTCCTGTCTCCAGGGCCCATGCTCTATCCACTGTGCCATCTGAATTTATTTACCTGCCTCAAGTCTCTCCCTTCTTTAATACATCCTCCACTCAGCTGCCAAAGTAATTTTCCTAAAACTCTGGTCTGATTTCTTTGCTTAAGATGAAAGAAAGAAAGAGAAAAGAAAGGAAGGAAGATAAGAAAGAAGGGAGGAAGATAAAGAAAGGAAGGAAGGAAGGAAGGGAGGGAGGGAGGAAGTGAGAAAAGAAGGGAGGAAGGAAAGGGAGGAGAGAGGAAAGGGGAAAAGGAGAAAGTCTTTCCTATTTAATAAACCCCAGTGGCTCTATATTAAATATTATTTCATCATCTTGTCCTTTAAAAATGTCTGGTTAAGATATCTGGTGAGTTTTTCAATATATCATTATTAGTACAGCACAGTAGTACATGGGGGCAGCCAGGTGGCACAGTAGATAGAGAGCTGAGTCTGGAGTCAGGGAGACTCATCTTTCTGAGCTCAAATCTGGTCTCAGATCCTTCCTAGCCTAGCTGTGTGACCCTGGGCAAGTCACTTAACCCTGTTTGCCTTAGTTTCCTCATCTGTAAAATGAACTGGAGAAGGAAATGGCAAACCACTCTGGTATCTTTGTCAAGAAAACCCCAAATAGGATCATGAAGAGTCAGATATGACTGAAAAAATGACTGAAACAAAACAAACAGTAGTACACGTATGTAATTTTAAAATAAAAAATATGCATATATTGGGAGTTAGTGCTCAAAAATTATTTACTAGTGGGGTATACAATCAAAAAAGTTGGGACACCACTGCCCTAGGGTACAGTAAATGAAATGATCACCCACTGTGGTAGTTGGGCTTAGTGACTTAGGATTGTAGCCAGTAGGGGAGGACATGGAGATATACCGACTATTTACTTGGGGGAGGTGGAGGGAGGGGGTCGAGAGAAGTACCAGAGGCTGACATATTATTTGTTAACTAATAAACTCTTCTACAAGAAGCTGAGATGGTCCATCGCTTTTAACACAAACCCCTCAGTTTTCTTTGCCTGACTTCTTTTCCCTCTCCAATGCTGCCCTTGATTACAGGTTTCTTATGGGGCAGCAGGGATGACCCTAGGCCTCGAGTTCCCAACTGTGACATTTGACTGAAGATCAATTGAAAGTTGAACTAGAGCCAGAAGGGACTTTCTCCCTCAGCAACCATTTAGTCCAATCCCCTCATTTTACAGATAAGGGAACTGAGGCCCAGGAAGGTCTTGCTTAAAGTCATATAGGTAGTAAGTTGTCAAGAGGCAGGATTTTAACTCAGGCACTCTGACTCCAGAGCTAGTATTCTTTCTCTTGTATCGTGGAGAGATATTTATCAGGTGGGGAAAGAGACCTATTTTTACTATCTTTCAGGTCACACTATGACACTCTTTCAGCCAGGGTCTAGCTTGTTGTTCAGTTGTTTCGGTCATGTCTGACACTTGTGACCCCATCTGGGGTTTTCTTGGCAGAGATACTGAAATGGTTTGCATTTTCTTCTCCAGCTCATTTTATAGATGAGGAAACTGAGTCAAACAGGGTTAACTGACTTGTCCAGGGTCACCCAGCTAGGAAGTGTCTGAAGCCAGATTTGAAATCAGGAAGATGAGTCTTCCTGACTCTAGGCCCCAGCACCTTATCCACTGTGCCACCCAGCTGCCCCCAGGGTCTAGTTTACCCTTTTCAAATTCCAAGTCACTGTTCCTTGCCCTGGCACTACTGCCTCCTTCCTGCCCACTCCCCTTTGTCCCCAATAGACTCAAATAGATTTGAAATGGATCAGACAGATTATGCTCCTTAGCCATTTACTCCCTATCCAGACCCATCCTATTTCTTTTCAACTCACCTTTTTCACAGAGACCTTTGAGAAAGAAGGTACATACAGCCACCCCTGATTCTAGAAGGGAAGAAGAAAATAGCCCAAGTTGTGGAGTTTGCTTCTGTCCTTACCTCTCACCTTTAAAAAAAGAAAAAAAAAAAAAAAGAAAAATCTTACTATCCCAGAGCATAGGGACCTAGAGAATCCCTAAACTGGAGCCTGTTTGTGGTAAGCATCAAATAACCACAGTATCACATCCCTTCCTAAAACTAACTAATTTTGTCTCTCTCTCTCTCTCTCTCCTCTTTCTTCTGCTGTCCCTCCCCCCTAATAGCTTGTGTAGGAGCACTGAGCTGGGAATCAGGAGGTCTAGGTTCAAGGTTCAGTTCTTTACTACAATCACCTCATCTCTCAGGATTCTCAGAACATCTCATATGAAAATGGCTGTGTAGTTGCTGACCCCTTCCAGAGCCTTGGGGAAGATAAGAGATCAGGTCTGAGCTCCTGAGTAAAAGTGTTATTCTTGAAATCTTAGATCAGACCAGGTGGCCTTTGATTTAGCCTTTCCTTTCTGACCAGGGAAGTGTGTGCTGGGACATAAAGAAGAAAGAATGAAAGAGAAAGGCTAGGCAGTCATATAGCTTAGCTCAGGAGTTCTTAATCTTTTGTATCGCAGACCTCTTTGGCAGTCTGTGAACCCATGAACCCCCTTCTCAGATAAAAGTTTTTAAATGTATAAAATAAATACATAGGATTACAAAGAAAATCAATTCTATTGAAAAAGTTATAATTTTGCTTAAAAGTTCATGAACCCCAGATTAAGACCCTTGATATTAAAGAAATATCAAGAGGAGAAAGGAAGGACCCCTACTTAGAAGCATGACCAACTGTTATACTCCCCTCACCCCCCACTTACTGTCCATTCCTGGGAAGGGCAGGAACCCAATACCCGTCTGGTTCTCCACATCATCCTCAAGATCAAAGATGATTTTCTCCAACCCAGCAATGACTTCCTGCATCTTTAGCCTTCTCCCTGGAGTTAACTTAGTTTTAACCTAGAGGCCCTACAGGTGAATCCTATATACAGCTTATCACAGGGTCAGTTAAAGGGGCCCAAGGACCAATTTCCTTTCCTAGTTCCTCATTGGTTTTTCTTTACTTCTGAATTCTTGGTTGTTCCTTAGGAAGCTGGAGGGCTAGGACCCTTCTGTACACCCAATCTTAGGGTGCCAAACACACACCAAGTCAGAAAGTGGTGTGAACAAATGAGAGGGTTTTCTAATGTCACCAAAGCTAAAGAGTTTTCTCTTTCAGTATGTAACTCCTTTCTGGGTCACTGATGCTCCTTACCATCAGAGCTCATTAATCACCTTTTAATATTCCCTAAAACACAGGGATTCTTTTTTTGGTTATTAATGTATTTTTATTTTCATTTCCAAATTCTCTCCATCCTCCCACCTTTCCCTTACCCATTGAGAGGCAAGAAATACACTCATTATACATATGAAGTCATGCAAAATGTATTTCCACATTAACCATGTTGTGAGGAAAAAAAGTGAAAAAAAAAATATGCTTCAATCCGATTCAGTTCATCAGTTCTTTCTCTGGAGGTAGACAGCATTTTTCATCATCAGAACTGTGGTGGATCATCGTATTGATCAGAGCAGCTAAGTCTTTCACAGTTGATTATCATTATAAGATTGCTGTTGCCATGTAAGATGTAAAACAGGGATTCTTAACCTTTTTTGTGTCAGGACCCTTTTGGTAATCTGGTGAAGACTATGTAGCCCTTCTCAGAGTAATATGTGTTGCCTACATCTGTAATAGAAAAAAATGCTGAATTTCAGTTCTAAGTTAGCAAAAATAAAAATGGAATTTTTTTGCATACAAATTCACAGACACCCTAATATCTGTCTGGGGACCCAATTTGCTCTAACGCTATTATAGAAAGAAATAAACTAAACAGGAATATTATGCAAGAAAAGTGACTCCTTTACTCTTAGCAGTCCTGCTACTGGGCATGTACCCTAAGGAGGTCAAAAACAGAAACAAAATTTCAACACATACCAAAATATTCATAGCATTACCTTTTGTGTGTGTGGCAGCAAAAAACTGAGAACAAATTGAGTGCCCATTGCTTAGAGGATGACTGAACAAATTATGGCAATGAATGTAATCGTATATTATTCTGGAGTAAGAAAAAACCCAGTATGAGGAATCTTCAGAGAAACATGGGAAAATATATATAAACTGATGCGGAGTGAAATAAGTCAAATTAAAAGAACACAATGACCACAGCATAAATAAAAAGATCACTAAAAGCAACAGGGACTCTGAGTAATTGAAAAAAAAAAATGGTGCCAGAAAACAGATAATAAAACACACATTCCCCCATCAATAGAGAAATGGAGACCCTCAAGGTACAAAGCTGCATTTTGACTGGTTTCAGAATTAGTTGTTTATAGTTAACTGTCTTTCAGGTCATTTCCCAGGTGTGAGGAAGCAGTGGGAATGTGGACCTAAATAAATCTAGAAGTGAAAGTGATATAAAAACAAAAGGCATTATAAAATTTACTGGTTTAAAAATCGTGTTTTAAAGGATGGAAAATAGTTAAATAAATGTCACCTAGTTTCTTGCATTCATTTAATAATAGTTAGAATTTTTTAAAAATTCAATTTTATTTTATTTTTAGTCCTAAATCCTCTTTCTCACTCATCCCTACCCACCCACCCATTGAGAAGGAAAGAAAAACAAAACCCATTACAAATATATATAATCATGCAATACAAATTCCCACATTGGCCTCCCCCCCCCCAAAAAAAAAGAATGAAAGAAAGAAAAAAAAGAAAAGAATATGCTTCAGTCTATACTCTGAGACCATCAGTTCTCTGCCTGGAGGTGGGTAGCATGCTTCATTATGAGTCTGGTCTTGTGTTGATCAGGAAGATAAATCTTTCAAAGTCATTTGTTTTTACAATATTGTTGTATAAATTGTCATCCTGGTTCTGCTCACTTCACTTAATATCATTCCATACAAGTCTTCCCAGATTTTTTCTGAAACCCATCTCCATTATTTCTTACAGCACGATAGTATTCTATCACATTCATATACGATACCTTGGTCAACCATTCCCCAATTGATGGGCATCCTCTCAGTTTCCAATTCTTCATCACCACACGAAGAGCTAATAGTTAGCGTTTATATAGTATTTTAAGGCTTGCAAAGCATTTTATGTATGTAATCTCATATGGTTCTCACAACAACCTGCATTATTAGTTTTCATTTATAGATGGAGAAACTAAGAAAGAGACTAGGTGACTTGCCTCAAGTCATGCAGCTAGTATGTCTCTGAGGCAAGATTCAAACTCAGGTCTTCCTGACTCCAAGTCTAGCACTCTCGTCAGTCTACCACTCAGCTTCCTTCTCAGGCACTCACTCGAATTTAGCTTGAAGTTTGAACTGTACAACCAAAGGAAGGACTCAGGCCTCTGCCAAGTAGCCTAGAATAAGAGATGTCTATGTCATGAATATTTGCTTCCAGTCCAGGCCACTCTGTATTCTGGCTCTTTAGCCTCCTCCACCTGGGCTGGGGGACTTTTGAAATAGTGTCTGAGTGAATATCTGAAGGTCCATAATAAATAAGGACACCTCCTACCACCAGCCCTAAATTAACACTTCTTCTCTAGTCATCTGCCTATATTGTCAATACCCTTGGCATGGCTCCTGGAGAGGCAGCTTGCTATAGCTGCAAGGACCCTGAGACTTGTCTTCAAGCAAGCCTGATCCTACCACTTAATAGCCATGTTCCTGTGATCAAATCTTTCTGGGCCCCGGTTTCTGCATGTGTAAAATGAGGATAGTACCTGAGCTACCTTCCTCACAGAAATATTTGGGAGAAAACACTTTAGGGGTGTAGATAGCTGGCTGGCACAGCAGATAGAACGCTGGATTTGGAGTCAGGGAGACCCACATTTGAATCCTGTCTCAGATACTAGCTCAGTAACCCTAGGCAAGTGACTTCACCTCTGTGTTCCTCAGTTTCCTCACCTGTAAAACGGGAATAATAATAATAATAGCACCAACCTCCCTGGAGTTGTTTGTGAGGATCAAATGAAATAACATTAAAATATCTCATAAACCTTAAAGTGCTATGTAAATGCTAGATATCCTTAATAATGATTTATGTATTATAATATTATCTTATTAATCATAATAGTTACCATTTATATAGCACTTACTATGTGCCAGATGGGCAACTAGGTGGCACAGTGGATAAGGTTCTGGGGCCTGGAGTCAGGAAGACTCATCTTCCTGAGTTCAAATCCAGCCTCAGATACTTCCTAGCTAGGTGACCCTGGGCAAGTCACTTAATTCTATTTGCCTCAGTTTCCTCATCTGTAAAATGAGGTGGAAAAGGAAATGGCAAACCATTCCAATATCTTTGACAAGAAAAACCCAAATGGGCTCACAAAGAGTCAGACATGACTGAAAAACGACTGAACAACAACATGTACCAGGCACTGTGCTAAGTGCTTTAAAATTTCTTTCTTTCCTTCCTTCCTTCTTTCTTTCTTTCTCTTTCTTTCTTTTTTCTTTCTTTCTTTCTTGTTTCTTTCTTTTTTCTTTCCTTCTTTCTTTCTTCTTCTTCTTCTTTTCTTCTTCTTCTTCTTCTTCTCCTTCTCCTTTTTCTCTCCCTGCTCCTCTTCCTCCTCTTCCTTTTCTTCTCCTCCTCCTCTTTTTTCTGCCCTTTTTCTCCTCCTCCTTCCTCTTCTTCTTCTTCCTCCTTTTTCTCCTTCTCCTCCTCTTTTTTCTTCTCCTTTTTCTTCTTGTGAGTATTGAGGTATTGAGTTGTGGCCAGTCTAGAGTCAGGAAGACTCTTGTTCAAGTTCAAACCCTGATACATTCTAGGTATAGGACTATTGGCAAGTTCTAGTGCCATGGTTCTTTGAGCTATGGTGTCAAACTCAAATAGGGTGAGGGCCATTAATGTGTATATAAAAGTCTCTGCAGGTACATATGGACTTCATTTTTTAACAATGGAATGTTATCTATGTTTTATTTTATTTTTATCTTACCAAATATGTTCCAATCACATTTTAATATGGTTGGGGCTACATTTGGGGGCTGCAGGGCTGCATGTTTGACACCTCAGCCCTAGACATCTCTATAAGACTAGAAGGTTTAGTGGCCAACCTGCTTCTGTGGGATGTCTCCTAATAGATGAAATCACTGGATTCCACCCCCCCCATATATGTTATTATTATTATCAGGATTTCCTTGGCACAATAAGTTAGGAGTGAAACGTTTTTCAAGAGTCACTGTTCCAAACCTTCAGACCCCAGGTTCCAGAAGGACTCCTCTCTTTCTTGAATGTCTGTTTGTTTAGGCATAGCAACTATTATAGCTCCTACTTCCTTGTTACCTGGGCTATGGGCCTAAGCATGTTTGTTTGCTTTCCTGGGGCTATGTGTCAGGATTTCTTGTTCCTTTGAACTCCAAGTGAGAAAATACATTCAAGAGAGGTTTTATATGTTTGCCTCTTATCCTCTAGCTAGACAGTGAAGCCCAGGAGGGCTGGGAACTAAGTTCTATCTAATCTTTGTATTACCACCCCCTTTCTGCCCCCCACCACTCCCAGGAGCCAGTCACAGAGTCTAAATAAACAGTAGCCCTTTAATCAATATTTGTTGAAGTTGTAGTTGAAGTTGACTTTCACAGGGAATTGAGCAGAGGGGACCAAATCCTGTGTTTTTCAGAAGCCTTGACTTGGTGTAGAACAAGAACATTAAGAAAAGGGGTAGAAGGGGCAAAACCAAGGTCTGGTGGAAAGGTGGACAGGAGAGATCATTGGTTAGGAATCCTTGCCCACATGAACGTTTACTATGTTCTTCTGATGTTCTTCGGTCTACTGAGAATTCTGGGAGTTTGTCATAAATTGAACCAGAATTGGAGCTCAGACTCTTCCACCTAGAAGTGTTGTAGCCTTGGTCAAATCATTAATCTTTCTGGGCTTCTGTAAATTGAAGGTAAACTGGTTCAAGTCTATGTGATTAATTTCCCCAAAAGGGATATGAACAAGCAGTTTTCTAAGGAAGAAATTCAAGCTACCAATAGCTATATGAAAAAAAAATGCTCCAAATCATTAGTGATTAGAGAAATGCAAATTAAAGTAACTGAGATTTCACCTCGTGAGCATCAGACTGGCAAAATACACAGAAAAGGAAAATGGCCAATTTTGGAGGGACTGCAAGGGAAAATAGGCACATTAATGGGTGATACCTTGTTCAAATGATTAGCTCATTTTAAGTCTAGGGGAAAATAAAATGGTCTCTAAGGTATACTCAATTTTCTTCTCTTTAGTTTTGGGTAATTTGTTTTAGAGGAAAAGTGAGTTCAGTCACAGTTGCTCTAAGTCCCTAATAAGAAAACTTCCTAACACCTAAGAAAAAATTGAGTTCTCTGCTTAATTTCATATTTGTATCTATTGTTCTCTAACCTCTGGTCACTTGTGGTTGATGCAAAAATCAATTTACCGAGTAATGAAACAGCAATTTATTTAGTGTCAATGGATAGACGGGTATCAGGAGGTGAAGTTGGGAAAACAGCTGACCAACCTTTTTCTTGCGACTTCCCTCAGCCTGGACCCTCTTCTCTAAGACGCCAGAAGAGCCAAGGACTCTCGTTAGTATCTATCTTCCCCTTTCTAGCACAGCTCAGTCCTCCCTTTGCTCCATGTTTGTTCCATTCTCTAGAACTGTGATGCTCAGCTTCTCTCTTTTATACAAGTGCTTGACAGTCCCTTAGTCTTTCATGCAACTGACTTTGATTGATTCGAGATGTACAGATCCTGTTAGCACTCGGTTCTGGTTGATTAATTCCATTTAAAAAAAATTCCTTTCACCTAGTTGAGGCATCAGAGCCAAATATTTGGCTTTGACACTACCCTTCTAAAAGAAGGTTGGTGGAGCTTTGAAAGGCTATAACCATTTTGGAAAGCAATTTGCAACTATACCCAAAAAGCTATTAAACTGTCGGTCCCTTTGACCCAAAGGAAAAGGACTTAAATATACAAAAATATAAATTAATGAAATAAATTAAATATAAAACTTAAAAAGCTCTTTTTTGTAGTAGCTGAAAACTGGCAACTAAGGGGGTGCCCTTCAATTGGAGAATAGTTGAATAAATTATGGTATATGGATGTGTTGGAATACTATTGTGTTATAAGAAATTATAAAGGTGATGGTTTCAGAGAAACATAAGAGGATTTATATGAACTGATGCAGTGAAATAAACAGAACAAGGAGAACATAACCAGAACAATATAAAAACAACTTTGAAAGCTAAAACAGGGGCACCTAGGTGGTGCAGTACATAGAGCACTAGGCCTGGAGTCAGTAGGACCTGAGTTCAAATATGACCTCAGACTCTTGAAACTTAATAGTTGGGTGACCCTGGGCAAGTCACAACCCCAACTGTGAAAGAAGGAAAGAAGGAAAGCTATAGGAACACTGATCAATGACTAACCCATGATTCCAGAGGATCGATAATGAAGCATACTTATAACCTCCTGACAGAGAGGGGATGGACTCAGGGTGCAGAATGAGGCATATTTTTTTGGACATAGCCAAAGTAGGAATTTTTTTTGCTTGACTCCACATAATTGTTACAAAGATTTTTTTTTCTTTTTCCCCTAGTTGTAAAGAAGGGAGGGGAGGAGGGAGAGAAAAGGAGGAGATTGAGAAAATAGATTTAGGTTAATTGAAAAAATATTAATTTGAAAATACACTCAAGGTAAAAAGATAGCATGGTATAAAGGATGGGAACATTGCTTTGGAATCAGGATGACCTGAGTTAAAATCCTGCCCTGACAAATAGTGACCATGTGACTCTGGGCAAGTCCCTAACATCTCAGTGCCTCTTGGCAACTTTCTAGGTCTTACAGTTCCAAGAGAGTTGCTCATCTGCCCTTTGTAGTCACCTGGGAATCCCCCAAATTGATGAAATCACAGGTCTGAACAAAAAAAAACCACATGGAACAAAAAACCATCTGAAGATAATAACACCTGCTCTACCTAGCTCACAAGGTTATGCTCAGGATCAAAAGATAATGTATGAGTGCTTTGGTGTTACACAAATGTAAGCTTTTATTATCCTGCCTTTTTTCTAGCCAGATAATGCTTATAGTTCACATTTCTATAGTGTGACACAGCTTACAAAATAATTTCCCTACAACTTTCACAAAGGGTAAGTGAATTAGCCCAGATCTTTCACCTACTGAGTAAGCCAGTTTCACTTTGAGTTATAATGATTCCTAAAGCAAGTATAAGGCAGAAAGAAACAGCATGGTGCAGGGTAAGGAGCACTGAATGGGGACTCAGTAGACCTGAGTTTGAATCCTGGCTTTGCTATTAATCACCAGTATGACATGGGAACTCACTTCTCTGGGCCTCAGTTGCTTGAGAGGGTTAGGTTAAATAGATCTCTCTAGCTGAAACATTCTATGATTCTGCAGCATCTACGGCACTCATCTGTCATATCTAATATTTCTACCCCAGCTCAAAGTAGTCTGTGTGTCTTTAGCCACTTAAAATTTTATCTCATGAGCCCCTACCAATGGTTCTGCTTTTTTAGTCAGCCGGAAAACACAATTAGTTAAAAGAAAAGGCATTTAATAAAACAGAATAGTGAAGTAATTTACAATAGAACATCTCTCCTACAAATATAGGGCATACTCTCCCATAAATTTAGACACCATCAGTAGGGATAGTAAGAAGGCATGGGGATTATGTCTGAGGGTAATAAAGGGGAATATATGTGGAAGAGCAATTAATAACTCCAATGCTTCGGGATGATCATAATGCTCTCACTAGGCCTGGTTCTCCCTGGTTCCCATGACTTTGATAGACTCATTGGGCTGGCTTTGGTTTCTGCCTTGCTGAGCTTTCTATGTGCTAGTGGCTAAAATCTGGTTTGATAAGGGTAGGCTGACAGCTTTTTAGTCATAGTTGTATAGTTAGCTATACCTAGCTAATAAAGGCTGAGAAAGTACCCCCATGCTAAGGTAAGGTCCTTTATAGGCAGCTGGGTGGGACAGTGAATAGAGGTCTGGGTCTGTTTTTTGTTTTTTGTTTTTTTTTGCTAGGCAATGGGGTTAAGTGACTTGCCCAGGGTCACACAGCTAGTAAGTGTTATGTGTCTGAGGCAGGATTTGAACTCAGGTCCTCCTGACTCCAGGGCCAGTGATCTATCCATTGTGCCACCTAGCTGCCCCTAGAGTTCTGGGTCTGGAGGCAAGAAGACCTGAGTTCAAATCTTGCCTTAGACACTTACTTGCTGTGTGACCCTGGGCAAGTCACCCATTTCCTAGGGTTGTTGTGAGGATCAGATGAGGTAATATTTATAAAAGTGATTACCTCAGTATTTGGCACATAGTAGGCACTTAATAAATGCTTGCTTCCTCTCTTCCTTTACTATGTCAATGTCTGGGCCAGGGGTCAAAGCAGATACTCACCTAATTTAGGGTTAGCCATTCTTATACCCTGCCAAGGCCTTCTCTGGCAAAGAGAGTTCTTTGAGAGACAATAGTCTCTTCTCATGGGATGGCTAGGTGGCACAGTGGACAGAGCGCTGGGACTAGAGTCAGGAAGACTCTTCTTCCTGAGTTCAAATCTAGCTTCAGACACTTCCTAGCTGTGTGACCCTGGGCAAGTCACAACCATGTTTGCCTCAGTTTCCTCATCTGTAAAATGAGCTGGAGAAGGAAATGGCAAGCCACTCCAGTGTCTTGGCCAAGAAAACCCCTAATGGGGTCATGAAGAATTGGACATGACTGAAAAATGATTGAACAACAACATTCTCTTATCAATGCCTTACCTCATTCAGGGAGCAGATCATAATGATAACCTCCTGCATTTACATATTTTACTTCTTCAAAGTGCTGCCTTCCAATCAATGATCTCATTTTGATGTGTCTTTTCTTATTCCCATTTTACAGATGAAGAAACAGGCTCATGGAGGTTAAGGGACTCTTCTAAAGTCACACAAGGAATTAAGGTCTAGAACCCAGTCACTCAATTTCCAGACCAATCCTCTTCACCCTTGGCCACATTGCCAAGATCACAGGGTAATAACTTCAGTCCTAGAAGAATCCCTATAATCATCTAGTTAAACTTCATATATGTTTATATATATATTGGGAAACAGAAGTCCACAGAGATTAATTTCAAGGTCATACAGGTATCTACCCCTTGGGTCCCCCCACCTCTTTTATTGCCTTGTTGCAAAATCCTTATTTTTTGAAAAAAATAGTATCCTCATTTTACGAAAAAAGATAACAATATGGTGGAAAGGTATGAATGCCGAGTTCACACAAGAAATTCAGGATGGTACAAGGATTTTAAACCAGGGGTCACAGCCCGGGGACCTCGTCTCCAGGGCCAACAGTCACCCCAGTGAGCTCTTCACTGTTTCTGCTGAACCTGCAGCTTTTTCTCCTGGGAGGCATCACCGGTGATGTTTATCCTCAAATAGCAGCCTTTTGATTAATTAATTCATGTCTGCAAAACGGATGTGAAAAGCACTATGTTAACATTAATATGAATTTTTAATAATCACATCATTGTTACTGTGTTCTCGCTTACCTTCTGCTAGGGATTTTCAGGACACTCAATCCCAATGGTACCTTGGTGGTAAGTGCTGGGAGACATAAGAAGACAGAATTTTCAGGCTTTCAGGGCCCCGCCAGAATTATTTCAATCCTCCCTCCATCTCCAGACCACAGTGCACTGCATCCAACTTATTCTCAAGATGTGCAGTAGAAGAGATTTCTACATTCTTCCTTTTATCTCATCCATCTTCCTTACTGGGCCCTGTGAGAGCTCTGGAATATGGTGTGGAAGCTGACGCACAGACAAGATGTAGTTTACCCATTTTAAATCAGAGGTAATTCTCAATCTACACAGAGATCCAGGTTTCAAGGCCCAAGGTTTCGCCATTTTCTTACTCTCCTACACATTCCCTTTCCTAATATCTTACCCCTAAAGGAATTTCAAAAGAAGCTGGTTTGTGCCCAGTTTCATGTTTATTGGTTTTTAGGAGCTGGGATCAAGGTTACAACAATGCCATAGGGTGTGGTTCCTTCAAGGGCTCCACAGCTGGCTAACCTGGGGGAGGGAAGTCCTTTGCTCTCAACAGCTGCTGTTTATGGTTTTGCCCAGATAACAAAGAGTTGTGCCCAGCCCTCCACACAACTCTTTGTGGCCCGAGTATCACATGTAGTTCAGATGAGAACCTGGCCTCACAAGAAACCCTTTGAAGTAGGCCAAAGATGTCCATAGTCACTGCTCTGTCCTGGATGTACATAATAAGTAATAAATGTAACAGGAAGGTGGCAATTAGGTATCCCCAGGAGGCAGACCATTACACAGCGTTGCACCTCCGGGAATGGACCCACACCATTTCACAAATGAATCGATTTTGGGGTGTGTGTGTGTGTGTGTGTGTGTGTGTGTGTGTGTGTGTGTGTGTGTGTGTGTGTGTGGTGGGGGCAGGGTAGGAAGAGGGTCTAGAATATATTACCTATATCGCCAGATTTTTTTTTATGTCTCAGTTGTTTTATTGGGCTTTTTTTCTCTTCCTCTGTTTAAAAAAATTGTCTTTGTTATATTAGATGACTGGTAGAAAGGAGAGGGGAGGGATACAGGGGAGAATTTAAAATTATATAAAGACAAAGAGTATTAATAAAAAAAATTCAAGTGAATTAAGATAACCCCTTTTGGGTGTATTATACATAGGCAGCCTGGTGCAGTGGAAAGAATACAATATTTGTGGTCAGAAGACTTGGGTTCAAATCCTGGCTGTGACATTTATTCCTGGACCTCAGGGAAGTCACCATCTCTCTGGCCCTCATTTTCCTAATCTTCAAAATGAGTAGGTTGGATTTCAGTTGTTCTCAAAGTGTGGCCTGGGAACACCTGGGTGCCCCTAACATTCTTTCTGAGGTCCATGAAGTCAAAATTATTGTCACAAAAATATTAAAATGTCTTAATTTCTAATATGGGAAATATTGGTAGATATAGCCCACATAAACAAAAGTTCTTGGGGGTGGATCCTTGATAATTTTTAAGAATGTAAAGGGGTCTTGAGACCAGAAAGTTTGAGAACTGCTAGATTAAATGGGGCAGCTAGGTGGCACAGTGGATAGAGTGCCAGGCCTGGAGTCAGAAAGACCTGAGTTCAAATCCAGCCTCAACACTTATTAGCTAGGTGACCCTGGGCAAGCCACTTAACCTTGTTCTCCTCAGTTTCCTTATCTGTAAAATGAACTGGAGAAGGAAATGGCAAAGCACTCTAGTACCTTTGCCAAGAAAACCCCAAATGGGGTCACAAAGAGTCATGAGAAATGACTAAACAACGAAGCTATGTTGAACTATGGATGCTACAAGCAGGGACTCGTCTAGACAAGGCAACCAGGATGGTGAAGACACATTAATCAAAATAAAGATTAATTAAAGCAACAGGCTAATGCTTAGCCTGTAGAGGGAAAGATATAGGGGGAACACAACAGAGCTATATTCAAAATAGCTGTACTTGAAGGGCAGTCATACAGCAGAGGAATTAGACCAAACCAGGACCTATGGGTGGGAGTTATAGAGCTGTAGATTTGGTTTGATAAAAGGAAGAATTTCCTAGCAATTAAAACCAGCCACTATATAGAGTATAGAAAGGACTGCCTCACCAGGTAGTGAGTTCCCCCTCACAGGAGGTATTCAAGCAGACATGATTTGGGATTTCTGCTTTAAATAGGGAACTGGATTCGTTAACTCTGAAGTTACCTTCCAACTCTATAATTCTAATTTAACCTAGAAATAGGGGAAGGAGTGCTTACTGGGGCTGATGCAAGTAACATATCCTTTGAACTTTAGAAACAAATATGGGACTCAGAGATGTGAGACTGATGAGTTTTTGAGTTTTGTTGAGCTTTTCAGTAGGTGAACAGAATTTTGCTGGCTCCCAAATGGTATTTCTTCTCTGGGCCTCTAGGATTCAGGTGCTTTTGGGTACTAGAGCATGGGATTCCTGGCAGCTTCTCTGTTCCTAGGCCTGCCTCATGAGTCCCAGGTTAGGCCTCATTTCCCTGTATACAATCCTCCTCCCTTCACCCTAACCAAACTGTTCTCTCTGGCCTTCTGCCCCAGGCTCTCCAGGCTGAGTTAGGACTTGATTTCACTTTCACAGACACACAGACACACACAGACACACACTCACCTGGCTCCAGAGAAGTATAAAAAATTTGTACAGGATCCCTAGCTCTGTTGGCCAACACCTTGGTAGCCTTGCATGCTGACAGGAGGTCAGGGCCTCCCCCTGGAGCAGAGAAGAAAGGGGTAGAGTCACTGGGGCATAATTACTTCAACAGGAGTGAGTCAGCAGAAGTGGCTTGAGAGGCCGGATCTGTTCCAGCTGTCCCACTCAGGTTACATGCCCAGGGACTGGAGTTGGGGTGGCGGGGAGGAGAACGTGTCTTTTCCTTCGGCTGCTCACAGATGGCAGGAGGAAACCAGAGTCCAATGGACAGATAAAGACAAATGGCCTACTTCCTAACCACATTCCTTCTGCCCCTACCAACCTGGGCCTCTGCCCACATCCCCTAGCCTCTCTGTTAAACATCTCCAGTGCCTGTCTTTCTCCCATTAACAGAGAAGAAAGTCCAGGACAACGTAGGGGTACAAGAGGAAAGATTTCTTTGGCTCCTGCCCCTATTATCAGGCTCTAACTGGCATCTGAAGAAAGGGGTATGAAATTGAAGGGATGGGGAACTCAACTGCTACATGGCCTCTGGGGGGGGGGGTCACACTGTAAGGTGTTGGCAGCTAGGTGATGAAGTAGAGAGAGTATATGATAGTAGAGAAATGGTCCTGGAGTCAGGAAGACCTGAGTTCAAATCTGGCCTCAGACACTGACTAGCTGTATGACCCTGGGCAGGTCACTTAACCTCTGTTTCCCTAGGTTTCCTCATCTATAAGGTAGAGATAATAATGGCACTTACCTCCTAGGGTTGTTGTAAGCATCACATGAGATAACCGTAACGTTCTTAGCACAGGGCCTGACACGTGGTGAGTGTGTAATAAATGCTTGTTTCCTTACCCTCTCCCCTTCCCTTGTGAGGAGGCAGAAAGAAGATCCTATTTTAATCTGTTTCTATTAACCTTGCTAACTAGGTTCTAAGCTCCATTTCTACACTGCCCTACAAATTTTGGCACCCTAGGACAAAGGCTCAGGCATTCTGTCCTAGCTATGGCTCTTGCCAAGGCCTTGAGCCCTCCAAAGAAGGGGTCTCCTAGAAGACTTGGAACCTTTAGGAGAGTTTTGGCCAGCTCACTCCCATCAAATTCATTTCCTGGGTTCTCCTAATGACGTGGCATGTCTGCACTCCTGAGGATCCCCCCACCTTGGCATGGAGTTCCCATTGCTAATACCTGAGAGTACTTAAACATACTTTCAAGGGAATGATGGAGGGTTTACATGTTGCAGTTTATATGGCAGTTAGGGCATCTTCTGTTGTATTCCTCATCAGAACTGGTTAGAATCTCATAGATTTAGAGCTGGAAAGAGCCTCAGAGTACAACCTTCTCATTTTACAGATGAGGAGACTGAGGCCTAACACAATGCCTGCAGAATAAACATCCATAAATATCTGTCGAATGAATGAAGAATGCTCCTCAAATGCAAGCTTTTAGCCCCAACACCAAGCCCTAACTATCGTCAACTCTGATCACATCATACCTGTTGTTCCTCCTTCATTTTCTAGGAGGACCAATGATATCACAAGGTGATGTCTTGACTCCTGCATGAATTGGATTTAAGTGAGGCAGAGTTGCACAAAGTCATCAGCCTCACTCTCTCTTCCAGAATCGTCAGAGTCCAGTGGCACGACAAAAGTCAGAACGGCTGGTGAAGGCCTGGGATGCAATGGATGACCTCGGTGTCTTTCATGTCATTAAGTGCTCCGTAGCACCTGCTTTAGCTGCCTTCATGGCCATTGGAACAAATTATTCTCATCCACCCATTCCCCTGGGGAAGTCTTCACATGCCAAACTCACCAATAGGTTTGAGGCCTATCGGTTACTCTCAACCTGGTATTGTTACTCAGTTTATTCCTAGTGGGGGAAATTGAGGAGGGGGTGGGAAGAGGAAGGGATACAAACCCAATCCACTGAAAAGATGACGCATCCCAAGAACTCATTAATTTCCCTAGCAGAACCCAGTTAGCTTACATAAGGTCACAGTGTCAAGGCCACAGACTCAATCTTTGTATGGGTTAATTGGCTTTGGAGACAAAACTCGATTCCATTACCAGAGACCGTACCCTCCGGCCAACTCTGGTCACAAGAGTGTGAATGGAAAAACACTCAAAACCTATGTCCTATTGACAGTGAAGGACAGTTGGAGCTAAAATTGGATGCCCCCAAGCAGAGGCCAACCCCTGGTTTTTCCCTATTGGATTAACCTAACCTGACACAACAAGACCTAGGAGATGTTGGGGGGAAGGCAGCAGAGTCACATGGATCTTAAAACAACAGATGCGTAAGTACATCTTAATGGGTGGATGATCGCTGGTCAGAGCTATTATGGAGGGGATTCCTGCTTGGATGGTCAAACTAAATGACCTCTAAGGTCCTTTCCATCTGTGAGAGTCTATGATTTTTGTCAATTGGCATTTGGGGTTGGACAATGAACAGGCTGAATGACACCATTTGCAACCCCATGTCCCTTAGCTTCCATGGAAGCTGAAATATTACCTTCTGAAAGAAGGCTTTCCTCATCTCCTTTAACACCAGTGCCTTCCCTCTGTTATCTCTGAGTCAGAGATAATCTCTCAACCAGCCTATCTAGGTCTTGTTTGTACAAAGTAGTTTACATGCTATCTCCCTGATTAGACTGAGCTCCTGAGAACAGGGGCTGTTTGCTCTTTCTTGTGTGTCTTC